ATACATAAACAGAATAAGTTTATTCCCATTGGATAAGTTTTATTTGTTTCTTGTTTTTTTTATTTATTTGTAGCAACTGCCAGTGATAGTGACAGCGACGTTGAAGATGGTGCTGGTACAGATATACGAGAAATGCAACATGTCAGTTTTGATTATATATTCATTATAATACATCTCATGCCTCATTATTTTTTTTGTCTTTTAATCTATACAGAAAAATTCATCTGGTTTTAATGATTTTGCTGTTCGACGTATAAAACATGCACCATATGGTCGACGTGAAATTGAAATTGCTGAACAAGGTTTGTTATATTCTTTTATTATTGGTTAGAATATTTCTATTCATCAAAACCTTTTAATTCTCATAGAAAGAATGCCATTTATCAAAAAAAAAATATCATTATTCTTTATATTGATGAAAAATGCATTCTTTTTTCTTTGACATGTCAAATTTTACTTATGTGTGATGCATAGATTTTGAGAGCGGAGAAGACAAAAAAGAAGTCAAGACTTTGAAAGTTTTTTCATCTGATATAATATAATCAATAGAATGAAACGTTTTAATGACTTCCGTAGAAAAAAAAATATCTTGAAAATATTCAAGTAAAAATAAAAATTTTGTTTTTTTTTTTTCTTCTATTTATAGAAATGCCTGGTCTTATGGCATTACGTCGTCGAGCTGAAGGTGATAAACCATTACAAGGAGCTAAAATTGTTGGTTGTACTCATATAACTGCTCAAACAGCTGTAAGTATTGATTTCATTGTTTAATTTTTTTTTTGTGTAATATTAATTTATTGAATTTTAATTAAAAAACTCAACAAGGTTTTAATTGAAACATTAATTCGTTTGGGAGCACAAGCACGATGGTGTGCTTGTAATATATTTTCTACTCAAGTAAATTTTATTTAAATAAATCATTTTTTATTAAAATAAACTTGTTGAATATTTTATATATATATACATAGAATGAAGTTGCTGCTGCACTTGCTGAAGCATCAATTCCAATATTTGCATGGAAAGGTGAAAATGATGATGATTTTTGGTGGTGTATTAAAAAAGCAATTGGTGGCGATCAAGGTTGGCAACCAAATATGATATTAGATGATGGAGGAGATTTAACACATTTTTGTCATAAACATTATACAACATTATTTTCAACAATAAAAGGTATTGTTGAAGAATCTGTTACTGGTGTTCATCGTTTATATCAAATGTGCCGTACACAAACATTAACTGTACCAGCCATGAATGTAAATGATAGTGTTACAAAAACAAAATTTGACAATTTATATTTATGTCGAGAATCAATTATTGATGCTATTAAACGTTGCACTGATATTATGTTTGGTGGAAAACAAGTTGTTATTTGTGGATATGGTTTGTTTGTTTTTAATTACTTTAGATAATAAGAAGAGATTCTTTTTTGCAAAGAAATTATTCTTTTGTTTCGTTTAATTATATAGTAAGAAATCAATCGTACTTTATAAAATAATGATTGTATTGAGAAGAACATGTTTCTGAAGTTCGGAAGTGATTTTAAAAGTTATCATTTTCGAATTCAACAAAAGCAAAAGTTTTTAAAACTTTGTCCGACTATGGCATCTAGTTAGTACTAAATAACTACAAATTTTGAGGTGTACAGTAGAGTCGATCGAGTTTAAAAATTTTCGACCCAATGGACTCTAGTCTACAGCTTTTATTATAAATGAAAATCTGTTACGAGAAATTCTCATCTGATTGTGATACGTTATTCACGTTTTTTTCTTTGTCTACAAAGTTTACGTCTTAAAATATTTGTCGTTATATAACAAAGTAGATTTTCAAATTGAAAGAACAAAATTTTTGTAAATTCTTTTGCTGTCTATGATGAATGTAATTTTTTAAAAGTGTAATAAACAAAGGACTAAATTCTTTTTTTATCATTAGTAGATGATAGATATGTGTCATTCTGAGTTAATTCAGTCATAATGAACTAATGTTAATATTCATTTATCATTCTTATTGACTTGTGCAGAAAAGGAAATGTGTTTTTTTGTGAAAGAAAAAATTGTCGAGCCTGTTATTTGTTATTCAAAAAGCCCTTGAGAATAGTATTTGATTTGCTATTTTTACATATTGAATTTTTACCAACCCTTTGAGGACGGGTAACATATATATGCGTCACCCATTCTAAAAGGGTTAAGATCTCTAGATGTCAATTTTCTGTCTAATACTGCTGTGGACTTTCGAGACGTATTACATACATACTCGTCACCAGTCTCGAAAGGTAAAAAACTTGATTGAACACAAATAATCAATTATTTCTAAAGATTTCCTCTTCCACTATTTTGCTTTCAAAAAAAATAATCCCGTTCTCAAAGGATTAAATTAAAATTCAAAAAATTGTTCACAATAGTTTTGTTACAGATTCTCATTGATAGTAAGAGCTATGAATCTTAAACTTTGTAGTTATTTAGTTCTAACTATCGATTGATTTTTATTGAATATGATAAACAATAGAAAAATTCTAAGACTGTAGTCAATGAGTTTCTCGGGCTCTAAATCAATTGAATTATTTTGTGTTAGTATGTTAAATAAGAGAATTCAATAAAAATAAAGAGACAATAAAATATTTTTTGTACAAATATACAAAAGAAATCGGTTGACACTGTCTGACAACGTTTGATAAGTATTGAGCAATATCTGTTATCAAGATGTATATATATATATATTACAGTTTGTCTATGATAGGAGTTAATTACTTGTTTATTTTTGTTATTAGGTGAAGTTGGTAAAGGATGTTGTTCAGCATTGCGGGGTATGGGCTGTTTTGTTTATGTAACAGAAGTCGATCCCATATGTGCATTACAAGCATGGTATGTCAATCAATAGATTTAAACTAAATATTTTTCTTTTCTTTGATTTATTAGTATGGAAGGATATAAAGTTGTTCGTCTTGAAGAAGTTATTAAACAAGTTGATATTGTTGTTACAGCATCTGGAAGTAAAAGTACTATAACAAGAGAGTCATTAGATAAACTTAAAAATGGTGCCATTGTTTGTAATATGGGACATTCAAATACAGAAATTGATGTTGTATGTATTTTAAATACTTAGAAAATAATTTATCAGTATGTTTTACTAAATGTTGTTGTTTTCTTTTTTACAAGAGCTTTCTACGTGATTTATCATCAAGTGATTTACAAGTCGAACGTGTTCGAACAAATGTTGACCATGTTATTTGGCCTAATGGTAAACGTATCGTACTACTTGCTGAGGTAGAAATGATAATTTATTTTTATTTTTTCAAGAATAATGATTCGATTTCGATTTTTCAATTAATTTTAGGGTCGAATTATGAATTTATGTTGTTCAAGTGTACCATCATTTGTTGTTTCAATTACAGCTGCTACACAAGTATAATAAAAAAAAAATAATAATCTATCAGTATTTATAATAAAACGAAAACAAAAAATACATATTTTTTTAGGCATTAGCTTTGATTGAACTTTATAATGCTCCACCAAATCGATATAAATGTGATGTTTATTTATTACCAAAAAAAATGGGTA